TCGCCCAAACCACAGCCAACAGCTCCAACTCAATAGTGGCGTAGCGCGTCTCAGTGTCAGAGAGGAAACGCGAGCCACACTGGACGAGCCGGAACTGCCCTCCACCATGATCCTGCAGTAGGGCGTATCCCACGCCATACAAGCGTGAGGCATCTGTCTGCAGAACTGTCGGCAAGGCTGGGTCAAACGTGGCGAGGACAGGTGGACGAGACAGGGCCTGTTTCACTTGCTGGAAGGCCTTGTCGTGGTCGGGGGTCCACAGGAATGTCCTCTTGGGGCTCATCAGGGGGCGAAGTGGTTGAGCAGCTGCGGAGATGTCCGACGAAAACTCTGCTAACTGGTTGACGAGACCGATGAAGGACCTCAAGTCGGTCAGGTTAGCAGGGGTGGGAAAATCCGTGATGGCGCGGACCTTTTCCGGGTCAGCTGCGATACCATTCCCTGAGAGGGTGTACCCACAAAAGTCAACTGAAGAGCTGGCCAGAACAAACTTGTCGGCATTTAGGGTAATGCCGTGCTTCCGGCACCTGTTGAGTACCTCGTAGATACGGCAGAGGTGATCCATATAATCCTCGTCGTACACGAGTATGTCGTCGACCACTTTCACGCAGTTTGCCAGACCTTGTAGAGCCATATCACCTCGAAGACAGAAAGCGTCTCCTGTAGCGGCGAATCCCATGGGGCCACGGCAATAACTGTAACGTCCATGCGGGGTGATGAAAGTTGTGAGTGGTCGGTCTTCTTCGGCAAGCTCTATCTGCCAGTATCCACACAGGGCGTCCATCGTCGTGAAGAAGCGCGCCTTCGGGTTCACACTGCGTATAGCTGCAAAGGGCGTGGGAGAAGGGTGGGCAGGACGAGACACCTGGCTGTTGAGCTTGGAGAGGTCAGTGGTGATCCGAACACCACCTTTAGGTTTTGCGACGACAACCATCGGGTGACACCATGGAGACGGGTCATCGCCGGTTGGTGCAATAATTTCTTGGGCGGCCATGGAGTCCAGCTCGTTTTTGACCGCCTCGCGGAAGGCCAGGGGAACCAGTCGAGGGGTGTAAATAGCGAAGGGCTTCGCGTCGTCCCTCAGGTGGATCCTCATGGGGGGACCTACCATCTTCTTGAGAGGCTTGGATTCTAGAGCGGACTTGGTCACCAGAACGTCGCTGAATTCCTTCAGGAAGTACTTCCGAGCATCCGAAGGAGAGGTGTCACTGGCAAGAGGCAGGGGTAGGGCGGCAGCAGGGTCGTTGCTGCTCCCTTTTTGCACCCTGTTGGCGTGTTTTACCTCAAGAATAGGTTTGGGGAAGTCCTGGGAGATGATGGCCAACTCTTAACAATGTCTGTAGGACAGCAAAGGAGTCGGGACACCGTTATGCACATCAATCCAGGCTTGACACGACCTGCTGCCAAAGGTGACTTGTGCTTGGAGTGAACCCAGGGCCGGGGTCATCTGTGAACCATCTGCCATAAAGCGGAGATCCTTGGGGGCGGTCCTAGATCACTTGGAGAGAGCCCCAAGCATTGCAAATGCTGGGGACCGATGACTGTAGCATCAGCGCCGGTGTCAGGCAACATCTGAAGACGGGATGACACACCGCCGTAGGTCACAATGACACTGATGTACTGGGGGACTTTGGTCCTGGGACGCGGGGGGGAGCACACATTCCTAATATGGCTCGAGCGTTGTCCAGGGTCGTCATGCTTCTGATGGGAAGACTGTGGGCGGCCCTCTCTGGTGGAAGGGCGCTGAAGCTTCCGCCGACGCTGTCCCTTGGGTTTGTTGGAAGGGCAACACTTGTCATAGTGGCCCAGGCGACCGCACACATTGCACTGGACGCGTTTGGCTGGGCACCATACTGTGAGTGACCAGTGGCCCTTACGGTCACAACTGTTGCAGGTAGACTCAGCAGCTGGACACACCTGCGTTCCGTGCTGCTTACCACAGTTGTTGCAAAATGAACCGGGCGTGGACGTGGTGGGCGAAGGCGTAGGAGCAGACTTCTTGTCCTTCTTGTACCAGGAAACAGCGCGTACAGCTGTAGGGGGAGCACGGATGGCAGAGGTGGCACACCTGGCAGCCTCATGGGAGCGACATATCGTCAACACATCCTGAAGAGAAGAGGAAGAGTCGAGGGAGGTGAGGCGTTGGACAAGTTCCTCGTCCTTAACACCCATCAGGATCACCTGCTTCAACTGGGTCTCCTCGCACTGCTGGTGGTGGCCTAGACATATATCTACCTCTTCCGAGGCTCTCTTAAGACGTACATAAAAGGCATCAAAAGACTCACCCTCCATCTGTTTGCAGCTAAACAATTCCGTCCTGCGCAGAGCTTCATTCTGCTGTCCTTTGATGTGCCGTTGTAGAACGTCCAGTACCTCCTCTACAGACAGCGAAGAGGTTGGGGGTACCTGCAACGTATGTTCTAAGACACGCTGAACTTCCAAGGACAGGCACATACGCAGCTGGATGAGTTGTTTAGGCTGTGACAAACTCTGGAGATCCACCATTGTAGAATAGTCAGTCCACCGTCGCCGCCATTCACGAAAAGTCTGGAAATTCACATCAGGCTTCAAGATGGGCGGTGTTTGAGCTGCTGCTTTAGGTGGGGCTGGGGGGCGTGAAGGAAGCATGGATGAGGTATCTGAACCAGTCAGTACCGAGGCAGTGTTAGAGCCAGGGGCTTGGTTAACAGTGAGGCGAGATATCAAGGCTTCAAACCGTGCACTGTCTTCCAATCTCCGTTGGTGGTCTCGTTCTGCCTCTGCTTGCCTTCTGTGCTCATCCGCCAAACGTCTGTGAGCTTCATCCTCGCGTCTCTCATCTCTCATAAACTTCAGTAAAGCAATTATCTCTGGAGACAACGCTGAATATTGAGGTGAAGGACTGCGCGATGTTGTGGGGGCTGGAGCGTCGTGGCCGGCCTGGTCATCCATCTCTGGGGGACTATCATCCGCTTGACTCATCCAGACGCTGGGTCCACGGCTACGTAAGGCATGAGACATAACTACTTCATCTGTGTACTGTGTCTTAAATCAGTGTTGACCTGTCAGCCCGTCGTATCAACAAGATTTCAGACAAAAAAATTAATTAAATACACAGATAAGTAGGTTATATATATAAAATATATATAAGAAAGCCGCGCGGTCAGCAAGTGTTAGTACATGTATGTGTGTGTGTGTGTCCCGGGCAGGCAGAGCGTCTCGCCTCAGCTGTGAGGGGGGGTGGAGGCGGCGCTGTGAGGGGGGGTTGGAGACAGCGAGGAGCTCAGTCACCCTCTGGAAACGGGCAGAGAAGGGTGCGCTGAACTCTACTCCCCACAAATGCCCAGAACATGCCGTATACCTTGGGAATCCTTTAAAACAAGGTCGCACATGAATGGCACGAAACACACAATGCACTAAGCACTTCACAGAAAATCACTGTCACTGACACTGCTCAAAGTTGCTAAATTCTTCGAGGACGGGTGGCGGTTGGCGGTTGGTTGACACAGGGAAGGAGTCCATAAGCCAGCTTTCCACAAACTTGCACTATCACTCGTAATAATCCAGTAAAACTACGCACTGCGCCATGTTAGGTTCTGAATAATAAGTTCTATATACAGGAGAGAACACAAACACCTGTATAGTTTTGTAGGTTCGGTTTACTGGATAAGAGTATGTACACAAAGGGGAGTAGTGCTCTCCTCAGCTAGGCTCCTTGTCAACTGCTATAGACGACGTATGGCAAGTGATACATTAGCAGCTTCCATACGTCGCCAGGCACATTAATTAAGCATGTGGGATATGGTAATAACATTGCCACACGCTGCTAGCTAGGCTGAATAAATAATACATAAATGGAGCACATACATAATATACATACATAATATATAATCCAGCATACATAATATACATACACCCCTCCCCTGCCTCCCTCCCAAAACCTCCAATGTACTTCCAACCCCCTAACCCTCCCACCCAACAACACGTCAAGTCCCTCTCTCTCCTCCCTCCTGTTAGCTACTGTGTGGTTCAAGTTTGTGATCCTTTCCTAGTGAATGCTTGGTGGAAGTCAGTGGTGTTTATGCTGACCTTCCAATTAGATAATAAGTGCACTTTTTAATGTCTTGTACCATTTCATTGATATTGATACTGAATCAGTTTATTTAGCCAGAAAAATACAGATACAGAGTCGATAATAATAACACTATTGACATGGCTGAGCCAATTGAGAGCCGGAGCTCTGGCCCCTGATTTATACTGTATATTTATCTCAAAGAAGTATTATGTACCATTTAGTATCATCTGGAATAGTACACATAACATGGTGTTAGTAAGAACATAGCAGAATATTACCACTATTATCACTTGGTTTTTCTTTATTCTATTCTATTATTTTTTACATTTATATTATAAATATATACATATTTTACAGTGGAGTTGATATACATTGATACGATAAGGGAGGGAAGCAATACAACATTAAGGTGAAACTAGAGGACAGAAACTGTCAATATCATGTCATGACGGCAAATATATAATTATTGCATTGGTTATTTCTCTCTATCTTCATGACAATATATGATATAATGGTTCTGCTAGTACAATAAAAGTAGGAATATAAGGGAAGTATTACAAAAATATTAATACTTAGACGACAAACATTTTTAAGAAATGTAAATAAGGTAGATTTAATTTGGCGTTTCCTCTGCCCTTTCTTCCAGGATTGTTTAATGCACAATTGTGAACACTTAAAGATTATCTCGCGCAGTTTTAACTGATGTCTACCCTACTTAAAAAGCTAAGCATAGCAATATCTCTGTTGTCCAGCTCTGTGTCTTTTGGGATAAGTTTGGGCGAGACCGGTGTTGTGATAGGCGACACACGCACACACACACACACACACACACACACACACACACACACACACACACACACACACACACACAGGCAGTTTCCTTGCAAATAAGTCTCATAAGATAAATGGGACTTCTTTTACTCCTTTCGCATTTACTACAAAACAGTTTCGAACATCGGGCTGAGCCTGAACTTACTTGGGGTCTTGAGAAGAACGGAACTTTCAACGGTATGATTGGTCAGCTTCAACGAGAAGAGACGGACTTCTGCACCATAGCTGGTCCTACACCAGAACGCCTGAAAGTTGTAGATTACCTGAGGGGATATCCCTCAGACCCGATGACTGTGACGTCTCTGAAGCCTTCGCTGCTGCCTCAACATCTCTCATTAATAAGACCTTTTGAAGGTTTGTACAACATACAATAGATGACAATATGAGAACACTTATCATATACCACCAGATGGTCAGACTAAAATCTTAAGGACGGAAGAAAATGAACAGTTAGAACTCTTAAGATGTCAGAATTAAATATATGAAAAAATAGTCCATATAGAGAAAGGTTCTTTGTAAAGTTGTATAAAGATATGGAAGCAGATGTTACACCTTTGCTGTATTATAGTGCATCAAGCTGGCTCTCCCGAGCAAAATAATCATCTTCTTTAATGACAATAATAAGAGTGATGTAAATTTATTATATGATGAATACTTTAATCAGTAATTTGCATATTTAGAAAATTTTGAAAATTTAAAATTTAATATGGAGCTGATCGCTGTATACATCTGATCGCTTTACATATGCAGTTTCCATATACTCCTACCGCTAACACTGTCTTAAGATTAATATCATCTGATCAAGAACACTTACGGTAGCTTGTTACGACAGGCACTTAATTTAGAATATCTGCCTAAACTTTGGTTGTATGTCACATAGACGTTTTCCATTTTTTCACACAATGACACCAACCCTCTTCTAACTAGTGTATAAGTATAATTGTGCAAAGCGGGAATTTATGGTGTTCATATCAAGAAGACGAAGTTGATAGCAGAAATGGAACTACGAGTCAATATTTCGTCATGACTGCTATTCGGAAAACTTTGTGCCAGAAGGTAAGGTCAAACAACAAACTAATACAACTCGGTGATTTGTTTCACAATTTGATTTTTTAAAATTGTTTTTGTACGATTTTCTTAGTTTTTAAGAAGATTAACAGTTGATGAAAGCTTTAATTTGAATGTTATAACAAAACACATACGAAATTTAAATGTAAAAATAATTTTCCTTTTGGTATTTCACTAAACCAATACCATCTTTACTAAGGTATTAGGATCTTGGTAGTAAACAATCCGTTTCGATGTCTCTGAGATTTGCGTACTAAGAATTCTATTGACTGTAACTATATAACTCTATTAGTAATCATAATCTTCTTCATTCCAGGAGAACTGTGGGGGGCACTGCTGGCAAGCGTGGTAGCGTGGGGGGTACTCATGTGGCTGATGCAGAGAGCATGGCAGTGGGTGGTAAGAGGTCGAGGCGTTAAGTTCAGTACTGCCCTCCTGTACGGCTGGGGGGCCCTCCTGGAGCAGCCGCCTCCCAACCCTTCTGTCAGCGACTCAGGACGAGTAATACATTATATTTCGCACTAATTAGGGAGAATAGCCGAATGAGCCTTAATAACATAACTGAAGCTTTCGGCAAACAAGAATTTTTTTGTATTTAAGACGTCATTTACCATTATAAGACAGCCAAAGTATAAGTAAACAACTAAAGCAAGTTAGTTAAGGTTAGGCTAGGTTTCTACGAAAATTTTTATTTATTTATTAAAATTATGTACTTGGCCGTTTATGGTCAAGCATAATTAAAAAAACAGAAGTCATACACACACAAACATATATATATATATATATATATATATATATATATATATATATATATATATATATATATATATATATATATATATATATATATATATATATATATATATATATTGAAAGTATACACCCCAGTCCACACTCAAGGTACAGATGACAGCGTCATCACCCTACTATCATAACCCTCCCATGCATATATCCCAAATTATGTACGCATTAACATTCATCTATTAATTATATAATGTCCTTAATTTACTCGTTTCTTAAGCATAACGTGAAATTGATCACAAGAACATTATGTGATTATTTATCCTGTACGTGTAGCTCTTAAGGGTGTGGTGGCTCATCTGGCCATCACCTTCAGTAAGCAATTGCCTTAATAATGATTATGTGATCAACTTAATATCAACACACTACATGAAAGTTCTTGTAATAATGTAAATCTCTTTCCATAATCTTCACTGTATTCATAGCTGTTGGTGGGTTGGTGGCTGGTGTTCTGTCTGGTCATCACCACGGGCTTCCGTTCATCATTGATCGCTCACTTGACAGTCCAGGGTAAGACGGTGCCCATAGAAAGCTTCGAGGACCTAGTGAAGCTAAACAACTGGAAGTGGGGCACTGAGCCCTGGCTACTTAAAGGCGTACCCTATGATTATTTCTCAAAGCACACCGACCCAGTCGTACAGACGATATTTAAGCATATGGAGGTTAGCCTTTGTCACATAATTGCACGTTTATTGTATGAGAGGATTTACTATTACCATACACATGTCACACACCAGTGCATATAAATCACTGAATACATTCACGAGCAATTATTCACGAATTTTTCAGAACACAATATCTGGAAGTGAACACTGAAAATCTTACCTCCTTTTCCGATAAGTCCACCCTTATAGGCTATCATTGTATATGAAGATATATTATCAACTGTTGTGTAATATAAGGTTCCAAAGAAGTTTATATTTTGCAGAAAGTATCGGCTGAGGAGGGGCTGCAGAAAGTAAAAGCTGGCGGCTACTCTTTAATTGACTGGGAGAATTACCTCTCCATCGTCATAGCTTCCTACTACACTGATGACCGTGGCAACACGCCCTTCTATATCAGTAAGCAGGGCATCTCCATAATGGCTGCATTTGGGTGGGGCTTTAGGTGAGTCGCATGTATTATTCATTAAGATGAGGGAATAAAAACATCGCCTTCGTGTTAAGATTCTAATAATGTATATTACTGTTATATGTTATGTGCACTATTTAATGCTAACTTAAAAAGTTGTACTTCAATTTTCTAGGAAAGGTGCACCATTCTATCGACGTTTTAGTCAGCTGATGTTTCGATTGGAAGATGCAGGAGTTATAAACCACTGGACTAAGGAGGTGATAGCCATGCGTGTGAAGGAGAACAGGGCTGCTGCACACTTGGTAATTCAGGAATTCCTCGGGGATATGACACAGGTGAATGAGACTAGTTACAAGGAAAGCTTAGTTTCACAATGAAGGGGAGAACCAGGGAAAACACAAACATCTTGACTAAGTTGGGTTTCTTTCATCACTTACGTTTTGGGAAAATCATTTTCCATCATCTGAGCCGAGAAAACAAACAAAATTACAGGTTATATACAAGAGAAACGAAACATTATTGTAAAATTTTCCTTCTGCAAATTTTTAAAAGAGAATTATAATTTAAAACCAATAAAAATGACGGGAGACCTACGTACAAAACTAAAATCAGAAGAAACTAAAACAAACAGAGGTTATTACCTTAATTGGGTCGAGCCTTAGTGTGAAAAACACAACAATGCACAGGAACCCATATCACCAAACTTGTGATATGGTTTCCTGTGAAGCCATCCATATTATCAGTATAGGAAAATATAACACTTGTCCTAATATGAGCTCACAATAACCCAATAAATAGTCAAGACCCGTGCACGTCCCTGTATACACCGGGCGTCACAACAAATAGTGATATGACCTCACCAGCGAAGGAGTTGCTTAGGTCAAGGGTCTCCCCTCTCTGTGTTTAAGCCCAGTCTCCTCCCGTAAAAAACACGAACTTGGACGGATCCTTACCTCAGCAGCCTCTCAGCAAATATATTCATAAAAATAGTTTAGTGGATTGAAACTTCACAAAATAATCAGTAAATATCATAACGGCCTGACATCATCAAAGCCCAATCAACATGCACATACAAAAGACCTAATTTATGTGAGAACCGAGGAACCACTCATGACTTGTCAGGGGAGGAGGGGGGCTCAACAACTGATTCCTTATACTTTACTCCTGAGTTCATAAGCCGTACGTGCTTCCTCCACCGTACTCGTAACCGTGTTCGACGACACTGGCCCAGAATATACCATTACAGTAAAATTACACCACATGTATTACAACTCCACGTCCAGGGTGTAAGATCAACCATTAGGGTCATCGACCTCACACCAGGACTTGGGTAAACAAACGGTGTACCTCCAATTCAGCCCATCTTGAATAACCAACTCGGCCCACACATTTCTAACTCGGTCCACCTTGCACACTTCAAACAAGTAGCTGACTAGAGTTTCACTGAAACACGAAGCGTGTTCTTTTCTTATCACTATCTAAACCCTACTGGCCAATACCTTATAATAATCTCGGAGGTAAACGTCACGATTTATTCTCCAACCTATAGCCTTCCTTCGGCCAATATTATTCTTTAAATAACTATTTATCCATTTGGGGTCATTGTTATTTGGTCTAAGTTATATGTATGGTATGATCTGACTTTGTGCATTAAGTAACTCATTATTTAAATTGTTATAGAACTCGTAAACATCAGATCTGTGATCAGGTTATCCTCAACCGTCGAGATTGCTACCAACTCTGTTTGTAGGGTGGAGTAGTCATTAGAAAGTCTCCATAGGAGGGTCTGACCTTGGGTGTAGAAGGCCGCTCCGGATCTATGATGTTTTGGGTCCACCGAGCCAGTTCGTCTGTGAAGTATGATGCTGCATCAGCCGGTGTCTCGGTGGCTATGACTTCCTGGGGTATTCTTTTGAGGTCCTCCTTCTGGAGGTTGGCTTTGCTATCACCTAGTTCTGTGATTTTGAATGTGGCTGGTAGAGGGCTCCATGGTGGTGGACCTACATAATCTCTGTCTCGTATGCCATGGATGTTCTTGACGAGTGTTTCTGCTTGCAGGTGCCCGATGACCTCGCTTGCCTCGTGCGACCAGGAGGCCCCTCGCACTCTGTGGTGGAGGTGGAGGGAGGCACTGATTCGCGTTTTGGCAGCTGTGGGCTTATCTGTTCTACAGATTTTGGCGAGGAGACCGGCTGTCACCTGCTTGACTCGTACTGCCAGGGGTGGTAGTTCAGTTTCCATTTGCAAATTGCAAATGCTGGTCTACATGGTTCATCCAAGCATGGTCCTGAGAGCATTATTTTGGATAACTTCTACCTTAGCTATCTGGTCTTCTCTCAGTCCAATGAGCGCTGGAGCACTGTAATCTACCAGTGATCTGATGGCGGCCGTGTAGTACGCTTTGAGCACGTGTATGTTCGCTCCTGCGGTTGTGCTGGTGAGCGACCTCATTATATTGTGTCTGCTCTTCAACCTGTGCCTGAAATACTCGAGTTGCGGCTTGAAAGTGAGTTTCTGGTCGAACCAGATTCCAAGACACTGGTGGGTGTTGGTCCAGACTGCCGGCGTGTTTTGTATGGAGAGCATCTTGTCTGGTGTGTCTGTGCAGATGGCCATCGCTTTCGACTTGGCTGGATTTATCTTGAGTCCAAGTCTGTTGCACTCCTCTTCTATAAGTTGGAGTGGGTGTTGCGTGTTGACTAGTCTGTTTGCTCCTCTTACTATGAGCTGTAAGTCGTCTGCATAGCAAAGGAGCTTGGCTGTTTTTCTGAAAGGTAGTCTAACTAGATTTTCCATCAGGACATTGAACAGCGTTGGACTGAAAATGCCTCCTTGTGGGGTTCCGTTTTCGTGGACCCTGTATCTTGATGTTGCCCCCGGAAAGCGTCCTTTGTTCTCTATTTGTGTAAGGTAGTTCTGGATCAACCCCAGCAACCTTCCTTTGACGCCTTTTTCGCGAGCGTCGTTATAATGGCCAGTGGATTTGCGAGTTCGAAGGCCTTCTCCAGGTCGAGGAAAGACCACCAAAGCTGGTTTATTGTCCACTGTGCTGAGTATCTCGGCGATGTTGTTGCCTGTGTCGGTGTTCTCGGTGTAAGCAAAAATGTGAGGGTGTGGGCTGCCTACTTTCCACTTGAGTCTGTTGAGAGCCATTCTTTCTCCCGTCTTCGCTATGCAGCTGAGAAGGGAGATGGGTTCGGTTTGTCTGGTTCTCTGGGCTTCGGAATGGGCTGTATATCTGCCTTCTTCCATTCCGGTGGAAGTCTTTGTGCTGTCCACGAAGCATTGATGACTTGTAGCAAGGCCTCGTGCCCGGCTTCTCCGGCATGGGAAAGCATGGAGTAGGTTATCCTGTCGGCCCCTGGTGCTGTGTCCTTGCTTCGTTTTATCGACTTCTGGAGTTCTTGCTGGTTGAAGGTCTGTCGGTGTCATCTTCACTGTTGCAGGCCTCTTCGATCATCTGGAGTCTGGTCTGTCGCAGACGCCGTTGTGTCTCCTCCGCATGTCTCGGGAGGTTTTTCGTTGCTGCTCGGTCAGAGAACAGTTTTGCAAGTCTCTCGGCTTCCTCTTCTGGGTTGGGATGGGTTGGTGGTGGTGGTGTTGCCTTCCCAGATGCCCTTCGGATCTGGGCCCACATTTTGCCGAGGGAGGTGTGCTCGTTCAGTTCGGAGCACCACTTGAGCCAGCTTTGTGCTTTTGATTTCTTCCTTCTCTTCCCTGGTATCCTTGACTATGACTTGCAGGAGATGTCTGTTTGTTTCCGTGGGATGTCTTCTGTAGTTTCTTCGGGCCATGTTCACTCTGTGGTTGAGTTCTTTCACCCTAGGACAGTAGTACCAGTAATCCTTGTACTGTCTTGATGTGGGTTTTGTTTTTGGAATAGCCTCTTCTGCCGCTCGCCTCGACCAATTGTTGGTGGAGGGTTGTCTCGTCCACGGGTGCACCACCGGCCGGCTGTGATTTGGCGCGCCACTTAGCCAGGTGTTTCCTATAGAGTCCCCAGTCCGCCTTTTGGGTATTGTATCTCCATCTTGGGGGGGTGGAGTGGGGAGTTTGTTCACCTTCAGTGTTGTTAGGGTGGCAAAGTGGTCGCTGGTCAGCGTGGGGTGTAGCTGCCAGGAGGCCGAAGGCTGTAGTGCACTGGAGACTAAGATTATATCCAGCCTTCCTCCCCTAATGTGGGTGAGCTCTCCGGTGTTCAGGAGGCAGATCTCGTGTGTGTCTTGAAAGGTGGTGTATAGGTGTAGGCCGTCTTTATTTATGGGGCTTACCGAGCTTAGGAAGGGATGATGTGCATTGAAATCCCCTCCCATGAGTGTGGCGTGGTCAGCGGCTGAAGCGAATAATTGAGTCACCTCCAGTAAGCCTCTTGGGTTCTTGTAGATGTTGCGGACAGTTATTTCCCATTCTTGGAGGGTTACTTTGACGGCCTGTGTCTCAATGTTTTCCCCACATGGCAAATGCTGCATGACCTCGGAGGAGGGTATGCTCGACTTGACCAAGATCATGCATCCTCTTGTCGACGCCTGAGTGAAATGCCTCCAGTATGTCTTGTAGCCACTGAATTTGAAACAGTTGTGTTCTTGTAGGAGTGTTTCTTGAAGTAGTATATTGTCAAGCTTGACCTTGGCTGCTGCTTCTTGCAGGAGGTGTTTTTTGTTTTTGATGCCTTAGTGTTTTCCACCACTGTTTCATCGGGGACTTCTGGTGGTCCTCGATTGATATGTTCAGGTCTGATTCCGACTGGATCAGGTTCATATCTTCTTGTTCTGTGGTGGTTTTGCCTTCTGGGCCGTGGTTTGATTCATGAGAACTGAAACGCCCAGTTTCTTTCTGGGAGCTGACGGTATCTTTGGTTCCCTGGTGGCCTTTTCCGGTGTAGAGTGTACCTCGGCTGTCACTCGTGTGGGGGCCGGTATGGTGTCTTCCACTGTGGTAGCTGGAGCTGTGGCGACTTGCCCGAGGACGCTTCCCATGAGTATGTGGAGCTGTGTAGGCTGAATCTTGTGGCCCAGTAGTCCGGCTAGGCCCTCCGCGAAGGTTGTCAGTACCTTAGCTAGGTCTGATAAGTGTATCATTCCTTCTGGTGCCTTGTCTGCTGCGTTGTCTGCTGCTTGGTGGCTGAGGTGTGGCCGTAGTGAGGGTGTTGACCGGAGGAGGTTGGCTTTGTTGTTTTGGCCTTTGGGTTCCCCACACGAAGGTTGGTGGGGCCTGGGACCCTCTTTGTCCTCTCGGAGCATCCAGGGTTCCAGGCGTGGTGGTTGCCCCCACAGTTGGCACAGTTGGGGGCAATTTTTTCCTCATTCTTCAACTTGGTGAGGCAGGAATGTGTGCC